CCCAATTCATTATACAGTACGGAGGTTAAAGAACGGCTACAATCTCCCCCACTCCTCTTTTTCCAGTTACTACCCGGAATATTCAGCAATTTTCGAGTATGCGGGTTAGTTAAGCTTTTACTGTTAAAGGATGACTACATGAAGCAATTTCCCGTCTTCTGATTTCAGAAATGTGCCTCTTTTTTACTTAAATTACTTTGCTTGGAATATACGTTAAGGGAAAACTATTATGCAATGAAAATTTGGAAAACGTTCAGAATTTTGATTTAAGTTAAATTATTTAAATATTAATATGAGTGGAAAAATAAATTGTATTTATTATTAGGTGCCAAACGAATACAGTTAATATGGCTTATGATTATTTATTTTCTATATTTTGAACTGACATTTCATCATTAAATCTGTAATATAGTTTAGTTCTGCATAGTTTTTTTTCTCTCGTTGTAAACTATTCTGTAAATTGAACTGTCATTTTAAAATTTAAAAAAAAGTTAATTGTTTTCCATGGTTGAGGTAATGCTCGTTCTCTTAATAAATATTGCATTGCTCATATTTTAAATTACAAGTCTAATTTTTCTTTTAGGTTATGCAGTTGTGTATAATGTAATTAGACAGGTGCTTATTTTTTCCTTAAAATGTACTTGAAAAGTGCTTATAGATGCTTATTTTTTTAACTAAAATGTGGCTACCAACCCTGTTGCTAACATCGTGCTTATTTATGGCAAATATATCCCAGGCCTTCTCGGAAACTTCTCCTCTGATAAGTAAGTGATTTCTTACTCACCCTTGCAGTGCCCGCTCCACAACCCTCTCTCGTCTTAAACTTACTGACATGTCCACTTCCTCCCACTCATTATTGTTAGTTTAAGCCTGATAGTGTTTGCCAACTGATTGGAGTTGATTATTGTGTTCAGTGCTTGTGCTTTTTGGTTTTGTTTTTTCTTTACCGATTTAAAATGTCTGGAAAACGAAAGAAGGTTGTGTTGACGATTGCGCAAAAACTAGAATTAATTCCAAAGTAGCAAACGGCGTTACAAGGCAGCAGATGGAATTGGATTACAGAATCACGGAAACAACAATGCGTGATATTCTAAAGCAAGAAGACAAACTGGTGAACTTTGCATCAGTGTCGGACAGTGCTTCCACAACGAAAACACGAAAAACTATGAAGGGTTCTACCTTTGATGAGCTAGACACGGCATTGACAGAGTGGTTAGCTAAAGTTCGAAAAGAGGGTACTCCTGTAAATGGTCCTATCATTGCGGTGAAGGCAAAAACCTTTTTTGAGTTGTTAGGCCTGAAAGGCAATTTTGATGCGTCTTCTGGCTTCTTGACTCGTTTTAAGCAGCGACTTGGAATTTGAGAAATTGGACTTCATGGGGAGAAACTTAGTGGTGACCAACTAGCAGCCGACGATTTCCACCATGAATTTGAAGAATTTGTTTTAAAAGAAGAGCTATCTTTTTAACAAATTTACAATGCCGACGAATCGGGACTTTTGTGGAAATGTCTTCCCACTCGCACTTTAGCATTTGAAAAGGAAAGTAAAGTGGCGGGTCATAAAAGCAGCAAGGAAAGGATCACTATCATGTCTTGCAGTGACGCTACCGGTGGACATAAACTTAGACTTGTTGTCATTGGAAGTAAAAAAAAAACTGAGATCTTTCAAAGGCACAAGGATAGAAAATTTGCCCGTTGATTACTTTAACAAACAAAACAAAAATAAGAGGGGATGGATGAACCGAAAACATTTTTTAAGAATGGTTCAAAAAAATCTTTGTTCTTCAAGTAGTGCGTAAACATCTTAAATTCGAAAAACCTGCCTGAAAAAGCTGTGCTATTGATTCGACAACACATCTTCTCACCCAGCAACAAGCGTGCTAAGTCTTCTGATGGACAAATTTTTGCAAAGTTTCTCCCCCCAAACGTTACTGCGCTAATCCAACCCATGGACCAAGGAGTCATTGAAACAATGAAGAGAACATACCAAACCAAGCTGCTAATGACCAAAATTGAAGAAGGTTATGATCTGAAAGAGTTTTGGAAACACTACACAATCTTGGACAGCATCTATGATATTGCATCTGCACGGGATTCAGTGAAACCGTCAACCCTCATAAAATCATGGAGAAAACTCATGCCTAATGTTGAAGCCAGCAACAACCTAACCCCTTTGCATAACCTTTAGCGTTTTGTGTGTTACCTTTATTGTGTGAGGAAGAGAATGAAGATGTAGACATGCCTACGCCAACTCTTGTCGATATGGTGAAAACAGTTCCGGGCGGTGATGCTGAAAACATTAACGAGTGGTTGGAGTGTGACGTCAACAAACCTGGCTTCGAACGCTTGACAGGAAATTGTGAAGAAAGCAAGGGGAGAGAACGAAGGAGAGTGAAGTGAAGGCGGAGAAGAACCCACTGTGCAGATGCGGAAGACTCACGAAGCGGCTTTACAACAAATTGAAGGACTGCTGAGCTATTTGGGAGAACAAGACGACTTTGAACAAGACGGAGTTGGCGAAGAAACTTATGTTACGAAAAATGCAATCTCGGATCAAGAGAAAATGCTTCCAAAGCAAGAAGCAAACACAAATGACTGATTTCTTCAAAAAGGTGTAGTTTTACAATTATGCTTTTGTAATTACATAATGCATTACAGTATTAAAACAGTACATATGTTTAATTTTCTGTGTATCCTTGATGCTCTCGTAAGTACAAAAGCACTTTTCTGTTTTCATTAACAAAATGCATTTTAGGTTAGTTTTGAAGTGACATTACTAAAATATTAAGCCGTTAGTTAAACATTTCCTGCTGTTTATTTCACATTTTATTGTACATAAAATGATTTTTCAAAGTTGGAATGACTATTTTCTCTTTTGCTATACCCATTTTTAGCTTATTTCGAATTATCCCCGTTTTTTATTATCCGAGGCGGGCGCGCCACCCAATTCTGCGGATAATCGGGAGTGTACTGTATATTTTTTATGCTTCCTCTCCCTTGCAAGATATGAAAGGGGGGTGGAACGTACTTCATTTTGGGACAACAGTTCAAAATATGTTACTGTATTTATTACATTACATTTTGCCTAATGTTTTCCAGTTGTTTGAACAGATTCATATAGCAGGCACTTGAAATGATTTGTGCTCTAATTAAAAATATTTAAAATTTTTAAATGTGTAGAACTCCAAAAATCTTTGACAATTTAGTCAGCTAATGTTTATTGTTTATAGTAATTACAGATCATGAATTTACAAATTTTTCCGTTCATATAAATACGCCTTTGCGTATTGCATTTTCTGCACTAAGAATTTAAGAACTGGGGAAATTCAATATTACCACTATTATGTGTATGAAGCATAAAAGATTTGGTTTGGTTTCTCTGAGTATCACAGCTGTAAGAGGAGGGATGCCTTCCTGAAGGATTTTCTTAGAGAAACTGACTCGTATCTACATTGCATAGGTGGAAAACCACAAAAACAGCCATGCGGCCAGTCGATTTGATTGGAATCAAACTATCACTATTTAGTGACTTTACCATTCGGCCGCTGGTGGGCCTTGGTTTAGAAAGCGTGATAAGAATAATGCAGTATATTTGTGCGAAATGAAATTAATAAGTGGTCAAATCTTAAATATTCTCTAACTTAAATCCTTAGCAGTTCTTGAATCCTTTGTATGAGAATAATAATAAAAATAAATAAATAAATAATAAAATAATCTGAAAGTTTTGAATTTTATATTACGCGCAAGGGGCTTTTTTTTTTTTTTTTTTTTTTTTTTCAGATTTTACATTATGTCAAAGGGTTTTTTTTTTTTTTTTTTGTGTGTTACCTTATTTATTAAATATCATATTCTTCACACTTCAACCATAAAATTCATTCAACACAATAACAATAATTAAAAGAGCATATCTTTAGAATTTAAGATGCACAGTCTCTCGCGCTGCAGATAAACAAGTCCCCCCCCCCCCGTACAATGTTCCCATTACCGTTGTTTTATCACAATGTGAGAAACAGTGGCGTAGCTAGGGTGGGGCAAGGTGGGACATCTGTCCCCGGGCGCAGCATACAGGGGGCTCCAAATTGATGCTACAAAATTTTTTAATGGTATGTTTTCCATTCTTAGCACACAGAAAGGGGCGCAAATTCTGCAGTCATCCCTGGGCGCTGAAACTCCTAGCTATGCCACCGGTGAGAAAAATACATACATTCATGCAGATTCTTCATTATTTAATTTAAGTATAATGCATGATTCAAATATTTGGTGGCAACAATTTAAAAAGTTATTTGCTGTTTATAGTGAATCAACGCAAATGCCAAGACGAATAGCCCTTCTGAGCAAATTGTCTGTTTGGGGTTTTAAAGAAGAAAAAAAGTAGAACTAAAAATCTGTATTTAATAGAAACAAATTTAAGAATAGCTTTTTTTTTTAAATACTCTGATATTTATTAAGGAAATACAAAATAAATTTAATACAAAAAAACTTAGTAAAAAAATAGACACATTTAAACCTCTTAAATACTTATTCTTATTTCCTCTAATTAAGGCAATTAAAATAGATTTTTGTAACAATTGAAATTATAATATTTCAGAATTTTTTAAAATCAAAGCAGGTATTTTAGGAGTTAACTAGAATAGATAATACTAAATATGGAACTTAAAAAACTTTCATGAAAATTAAGAGCTCTTAGGATTACCACAAGCTTATATTGGTTATCTCAACTGGAATTTCAGCAATTGTATTCTTTTTTAAATAAATTCTTCTTTTATACTTCACTAAAATTAAATTTTTCAAAAGCTTTGAATTAAGATAAATTGTTTGATAAGTTTTTATTTTGGAATAGAAATGAAGAGAAAAGTGCAGAGATATGAGATTATTGAGTTTCAAAAATTCAAATCTTCCATTCCAGTATAAAATATCTTATATTTAAAATATAAATATATGAAGTTCTTTTCTTTACTTTTAATATATTTAAATTGACATACTTTTACCTTTTCTTTTAGACTGCATGATGTTTTGCACAGTGAGAAAAAATTAACATTAGTTTTTGAACATTGTGACCAAGATCTAAAGAAATACTTTGATAGCTTAAACGGAGAAATTGATGCTGATGTTGTAAAGGTATGGTTTTCCTTTTGTTAGTTATCAAATTCAAGTGGTTATAGTTTAAAAATGTTTTAAAATAGTACCTATTGTTATAGTTATATCAAAAAAGCATATCCTATTAAAAGACGACCGTGTCTCGGACTCTCCTTGTGCTACTGCTGTGTCTGCTTTTAAACTATTGACTAGACATGACTACCTTCCTTGGTGCTCATTTGTTTTATTTTAATCTGACTGCCTCACCTTTATTTGCTTTGTGTGATTCTGGATTTAAGAGTTTGGACTGTATTGTAAAGAAGTATTGAAGAGAGCTCTTTGCCTAATGACCAGGCATTTGATAAATAATTATTAAGCCAATAATGCCATCCCTGACTGTTTTTTTTTATGATTATCATGGGAACACTAAAAGCCATTCTGAATTCTAGAATTTTGGAAGGCTAAAGACTTCAAGATCAAGTAAAGCAAATATATTAGGTGCGACACAGAAAACATGAGACTGGTCCAATAAATCTTTGTACTTACAGAATCAGTTCTCTGTGACATTATCACCTTCAAAGTAGTCCCCTTCAAATTCACATATTTCTGCATTCAGTGCTGCCATTGCTGGTAACAGTTCTGAAACAAGGTTTTTCGAAGACCCTTCTGGAGATTCTCGGTTTTTGCCTGAACCTCTTCAACTGAGGTAAAATGCCTTTTCTATAAGCAAGATTTAACTTTAGGAAATAAAAAAAGTCGCATGGAGCCAAAGCAGGTGAATAAGGAGGATGCCCCCCCCCATCACAGAAAAGTTTTTGCTGGTCAGAAACTGCTTGACAGATGGCTTTGTGTGAACGGGTGCATTGTTTTGGTGCAACAACCATCCAACACTCCACAACCATGGCCTTTTTCCCTAATTTTTTCTCGAAGCCTTTTTTTAGTACTTCAGTGTATTATTGATGACAGCATACAGTATACACATAAAAAACATTAACAAGTGTTAGTTCTAAGAATTTTTTATTTTGAAGGCATAAACATTTAAATATCGTTTAAAATTTTGTAAAAAGACAATAAATTTGTAAAAAGACGTTAATTTAAGAATTTACTATGCTTTCATGGTTCAACATCCTGATTTGCCGGTTCATATCACTTGTCACCATGTGATCTCATCTCACGCAAACTACATTACAAAAATCTAAATATCTCAGTATTATCTACATTAATTTCAAGTTAAATCTTTATTTGGATTATAAGTTTAAATGCATGAATTATTTCAATTCGTACGACTGGTAGCAACAAATGCTTAATTTCCCCCCCCCCCAAAAGGGACAAGAGTAAGGTAGTCGTCAGAACATTTTAATTTATAAAAGTGCTGCCCACTCGAATAAGGTTTGAAAAATGCTGATATATATAATGTTTAATGTGCACAGTGCTGCCAAATTTGAGCAATTCTCCGATTGTATTTTTAGTAAAAACAGACTGCTGTGTACATGGGAAGACTAACAGATTCATTCTCATTTACACAATGATCTATTTTTGTTTACAAAGACATTACAGAATGGCAAAAATTTTCCTTCACACATATATATTCTATTCATGATACATAAAATAGTTATTTTTTTCATGAACTGTATTCTTTTCATGAACTGTATCATGTATTATTAGCATTATGACAATCTAATTAGATTTTGTGTCAATTTTTATGTTTGGTGCTAAGTGGAATCTTGGTAATAGAAAAATATAGTACTTTTCCATTTCGCCGACGCAAATCTCGCGAAGCAGACTTTATTATTGGCGGCAACATACAATATACACAAATAAAATATTTTCACGAATGTTAGTTCTAAGAATTTTTTATTTTGAAGGGATAAACATTTTTATATCGTTTAAAATTTTGTAAAAAGCCAATAAATAAAAGACAATAAATTTGTAAAAAGATGTTAATTTAAGAATTTACTATGCTTTCATGGTTCAACATCCTGATTCGCCGGTTCATATCACTTGTCACCAAGTGATCTCATCTCACGCAAACTACATTACAAAAATCTAAATATCTCAGTATTATCTACATTAATTTCAAGTTAAATCTTTATTTGGATTATAAGTTTAAATGCATGAATTATTTCAATTCGTACGAATAGCTTACTCAGAAATTATGTAAAACCACAGTGCTTTACTTCGCTAGTGCATTCTCATTAGAATTTATGAATTTAGCCCTTGACTTTGCCTTTTCTATATATTCCGCCTTCGGGTGAGCGGTGTGATGGTATCCTAATTGACTTAATTAACACGAATGGACTCAGGGCATAAAATTGAACTATTTGGTAAAAATTCTTTCTAATTGTATGCCAGTATTGAAAGAAACAAGCAATCTGATAAGAAATGGCCGCGACTTGTTTCGAAAGTGAGGCGTAAAATGTTACCAGCAAGGATATTCTGCTTGGCATCAGTTGTACCATTACTGCTGACTTTATCACCTGCGCCGGGAAAACGGAAAAGTACCCCCTCCCCCTTTTTTTAAAATTTAGCAGGATTCATAAAGAGGCTGAGATAACTATGGGAATAACAAATTGATGGAATTTCGAATTCTAAATAATGCCCACCAGATATTTAAAATAGAAGTAAAATAAATCTGCATAATCAAACTTCTGATAACAGAAATGTGTTTCATTGCCAAAAATGCTAATAAATTGTTGTTGGTGTATCACTACCCAAATAAGATGCATAATGTGGAAAATTAACTATATAATTCAAATATTGTTAATAGTCTAAGGAACACATAGTATTTCTAGTCTGGTGTAAAGGAAAGTTCTGAAAACAAATTTCTGTTGAGTGGTTTTAGGACTTTTTCCTTGTGTAATAATTCTTTTCTCATCTTTTTAGCTAGTTTTGTTGGTAAGTTATTATGGTTCAAATCTTTTTTGAATAAAGCCTCATGAAAAACTTTGATTCATTATTCAAGCAGTTGAAAAATGTAGTTTGAAGGTAGAACACAAACAACATTTTTTGTTGTTTGTGATTAAAAGCACTTTCTTTAATTGGTATAAGAATAACTGGCAGAACTCGTGCAATAATTGAAATTTTACTGTCATGAAAGTAACAGAGGAGTGTATATTTTAAAATAATGCAAGCTCAGTTGTAATGTTTATAATATTGATTCAAGAACTATTTAGTGGGAAATTCCCCATTCTGACCTTAAAAAAGATTCAAAGTATTTCTTAATTTATCCTGAATAAATAAAAATCTGCAGAATAATATTATTTGAAATCCAGCTGTACTTGCTGGCAGTATCATTGTCATGCAAATCAGAATTATGAAAGCTTTATTTGTGATTTTTTTCTTTAAACTAGACCAATGTGCAGATTGAATTATTTTGTACGACTTCATTCAGGAATACTGTAGATCTGATGTTGGCTTAAAAAAAACTGCAATATGAGGTGTAAAATGTAGTTTTAACCATTAAGGAGTTCCATTTCTTGATTCTTGCTGGATGATTTAAGTCCCATGTATTGTAATTTAAACATATAAGCTATGATAAGTTATTGTTCATGGTACTTAACATATTTTCTTGTGGACCATGAAAGTTTGCGGAAATCGCACTAAGAGTGAAGGAACAGATTGCTCATTATTTATTTATATAATAAAAGATTTCTGTTTATGTAATGAGATAATCAACAGATACAAGCTACAAAAAAGGCCTGTAAAAACTTTGAGATTATCTGACAAAGAAATTTATTAAAACTAGTACCATTGATTACAGTCGTAAATAATCTATAATAGAATATAAAATAAGGAAATTGACACCTTCTGTTAGAAACTTAATGCGGCATAAATTCACTTATATATAAATTTACAATAAATGATGTTGTTTTTATTGTGCCATTTTTTGATGAATTCCACTGTCTTTTAATGTTCTGATATATATTATCAGTATAACTAGTTCTGCAACCTTGAAAGTACTCCATTCTTTCCTGTTTTAAGGAAGGCAGGTCCCAAATTTTAGTCCTTTTTACTTCCTTGTACGAAGTAAAAAGGAAGTATTGAAATCGCGAAATGTTTCAGGGAGCATATTTCAATTAAAATATCCATTTTGACCGCTATTGAATGCAATTTACCGATGTTTTTGTGTGATATCTGTACGTAAGAACAGAATAAAAAACTTTTCCTCCAAAAAAAAAAAATTATAAAACTGCTTTAAAATAAATTCTGAAGAGAATTTTTCGTGGCGTCTGTACGAACGTATGTACGTACGTATCTCGCATAAGTCGAAAATGAGTAGCCTCAGAACGTTTGAAATTTTGTATATAGGACTGCTATAAACATGTAGATGTGCACCTCGTATTTTGGTTGCAATCGGCCCACACCAAAAACGTATATATATAAAATATATTTATATATATCCACTCTGTTACCCGGCTCAGTGATCTCAGTTTCTTTACTCTTATATGTTTGTAAATTGTACATTTTTTTGCTTTTTTTAAAAATGAATTGATTGAATTATGTTGTTCTTATCTTCCGGTTAAGGTTTTTTTATGCCTTTAGTAAATCTGTATGCAATATTTTTAGAATTATCAACAATTTTAAAAGTTGTTTAAGTGCCGCTAACCTAATATTTTTTCATGGCGGCCATTGCTTGTTTACATTTGAAACAGCAGAGAGTAGTGGATTTGTTGCCAATCTAGAGAAACTTAGCTTCCCAACAACAAAAAATAAAACGTCTTCATTTATTATTGCGAATTAAATCATGCTTAATCCTTTCTAAAATTTTTTCGAGGAAAATAAGTGTTTAAGATTTACTTCGTAATTTTTAATATAGATATTTTGAGTTTTTTTTTATGTTTTTGCCTTTCTCGCGAAGTGAGAACTGAATTAATTGAATGAGAGAAATACTCAATCATCTGTGAAAAACTGTTTCTTTTTGTTTTGTTTGCTTAAATTTCTTTTATACATCGTTCTAGCTTTATTATAGTATTTGAATAGAACATGTGGCAACGATTAGATAATTCTATTCTTTAAATGATATAAATTTTGTGCATTATGAGTTATAATATGAACGAAATATAATACTGTAAGTGAATCTAGCGCCAGAGTGTCGCTATGGTAAACAAAAATACTAGAGTGAATTTTTAAAGAATGCATTTATTCTATTGTGGTTTTTGCGCTGTCGGCGAAGTAGATTTAATTTAATCCAATAAGTTTAAATGAAATGCAAGAAAAAAATGCGTATAATTTAATATTCCGTACAAGGAAGTCATGTGGTGTGCACATCAGATTTTTTCAAAATGCTAGGGAAAGATAGAAACAGCGATTAACTTCCTTACAAAATTTTACCTGCCTTTTTGAATATCAGGGTTACATAAACCTAAAATGAAGATCTTATGCTGTGACATCATAATTATCTATTTTTAACGATAAATTGCAGGTTTTTGATAACATTGTTGAAAATGGTGGATGGCAAAATGCATAACTATTTTGTTCATTTATGTATCCTGAATTATTACTTTTTCTGGTATTTTTGGTACTTCTGTTTTGCCGGGGTAGGCGATAAAGTCAGCAGTAATGGTACAACTGATGCCAAGCAGAATATCCTTGCTGGTAACATTTTACGCCTCACTTTCGAAACAAGTCGCGGCCATTTCTTATCAGATTGCTTGTTTCTTTCAATACTGGCATACAATTAGAAAGAATTTTTACCAAATAGTTCAATTTTATGCCCTGAGTCCATTCGTGTTAATTAAGTCAATTAGGATACCATCACACCGCTCACCCGAAGGCAGAAATGTAGAAAAGGCAAAGTAAAGGGCTAAATTCATCAGTTCTAATGAGAATGCACTAGCGAAGTAAAGCACTGTGGTTTTACATAATTTCTGAGTAAGCTATTCGTACGAATTGAAATAATTCATGCATTTAAACTTATAATCCAAATAAAGATTTAACTTGAAATTAATGTAGATAATACTGAGATATTTAGATTTTTGTAATGTAGTTTGCGTGAGATGAGATCATTTGGTGTCAAGTGATATGAACCGGCGAATCAGGATGTTGAACCATGAAAGCATAGTAAAAAATTCTTAAATTAACATCTTTTACAAATTTATTGTCTTTATTTATTGGCTTTTTACAAAATTTTTAAACGATATAAAATAAAAATGTTTATCCCTTCAAAATAAAAAATTCTTAGAAAACTAACATTCGTGAAAATATTTTATTTGTGTATATTGTATGTTGCCGCCAATAATAAAGTCTGCTTCGCGAGATTTGCGTCGGCGAAATGGAAAAAAAGTACTATATTTTTCTATTACCAAGATTCCACTTAGCACCAAACATAAAAATTGACACAAAATCTAATTAGATTGTCATAATGCTAATAATACATGATACAGTTCATGAAAAGAATACAGTTCATGAAAAAAATAACTATTTTATGTATCATGAATAGAATTATATGTGTGAGGAAAATTTTTGCCATTCTGTAATGTCTTTGTAAACAAAAATAGATCATGTGTAAATGAGAATGAATCTGTTAGTCTTCCCATGTACACAGCAGTCTGTTTTTACTAAAAATACAATCGGAAGAATTGCTCAAATTTGGCAGCACTGTGCACATTAAACATTATTATATCAGCATTTTTCAAACCTTATTCGAGTGGGCAGCACTTTTTTATAAATTAAAATGTTCTGTTCTGACGACTACCTTACTCTTGTCCCTTTTGGGGGGGGGGAAATTAAGCATTTGTTGCTACCAGTAGAGTTATATTTTTAAAATGCAATTTATTAAAATTTATTAAATTTAATATTGGTGTTAGGTACTTAAGTAAACAGAAAAAAATATTTGTTTTTAATAATTTAATGATACTAGATTAGTATTATCTTTATCTTATTGACTGAAAATTAAATAAATGTTAATACTCACATTAATGAAATGGATAAGCTTGCTGATGAGAAGCACCAAGGTTTCAGTGCTTTAAATAATTCTCTATCCTTTTTGGGGAAGACTAAGATTAGTATGGGAAGTATGTAGGTGCAGTAGCCAGTAATAAATTTCATAAAATATCAGTCTGGGATGAAATTGAGGATTGCTGTGTGTAATTTCCAAACTGAAATTTTTCTGCTCTAGCGTGATACACAATATTAAATAATTTTTTTAAGAAATCCAGGAGAATCGCAAGGTCAGGCTTCTAGGACCACTTGTGGTCTGCTGACAACAGACTAAAAATTGAATCTTTTTGCTGCTTATTTTTTATGAGTAATGTTGCTATTGGCTTTTCATTTTGGGAAGGGTGCTGTTTTATTCTGTAAAGATTAGCACTTGCGAATTTCATACTGCTTGTGTTCTGTTATAACTTTTTCTTGCCTTTTTTCTGTATACATAAACCTCTAAATTAGTTCATTTATTTCTACTGACCTACTACTTCTACAAGTTAATATAGCAATGTTACCAAATGTCAAAAATTAAATTCTACTTTCCTTTTTTCACAAAATAGCTCCCTAAATGTGAAAGCACATCTAAAGTATGCAAAACAAGCTGTACTTTGTCTGCAGTGCATTGGTTTTAATAATACATTTTATCCGCTTTTTACATTTAGGAAATTAAAAGCCAATGAGAATTAAGTTTTATTTATTATTTTTTTTTTCCAGTCTTTCATGTTTCAACTGTTAAGAGGTTTAGCTTTTTGTCACAGTCACAATGTTCTTCATCGAGATCTAAAACCACAGAATTTATTAATAAATAAAGTAAGTATCCAATTTGATGTTCATTTTTTGTGGGTGTGTGCGCACGTGTGAGTGAGTGAGTGAGATTTTCCTTCTCTTTTTGTAACATGGCATTCTTTTTTTACTGAAATCATTTTACTTTTTCCCATGCTGTGAACAAATTTGTATTTGTTATATTATTTCTTTCATATTTAATTTATGTTTATTTTATTTCTCTGCTTTTAACTGCATAGAATGGGGAACTTAAATTAGCTGATTTTGGACTGGCAAGAGCTTTTGGCATTCCAGTGAGATGTTACTCAGCAGAAGTAAGTTTAAAAGTTACAGTTCCATAATTTCCTTGTTTCTAACAAAAGTTTGTTTTTATACATAGCAAAATTCCTTCTTTATAATTTCATTCAAATGTAATAACTAACATTTGCATAGTAGAACAATTGTGTTAAATCATTTACCAAATTTTCCAACATACAAATCACGACAGCATATAAAATGATCCCATCCAAATAAATGTTAAAATTAGGTATATCTGGCATAAATGTTCACGCTCAGTGTATAGCATCTAAAAGGTGTGGTGTAAGCAAAAGAGCAAAGGATAGACTCGAGATGTGTTTTAAAGTGTACTGCAATCAAAATGTATCTTAAAAATAGTAAAGTGCCATAGCATATCAGAAATTGAAGATGATGTGAAAGAGCAGATCTTAATATATTGGCAAAATAGGTGTCTTGTCACACATATGCTCTTAAATGGTCTGAATCTAATCCAAATTAAAGATTAGGTGAAAGCTTTTAAAGGTATAGTAAGTTAACCTTTTCTCACCGACTATCGTGCGGATGTGCCATCATAAAACACATTCACTTCCCGGTTCGCACATCAGCATGACGGAGTATATTCTCATTCACCATTACCCACCACATATTCGTGTCAGAGTTTTGGAACATTTTAGAAGCTAATATTTTTGGAGCAAGATAGTGTTACATGTCCATAGTATTTGAGGTATTTCATTTATGTAAACATAAGGCGAAAGGCATGTTCTCGACTCTCAGGCTTCCTGACAGCTTCTTAAATGTGCAAGGGATATTCCCTCCCCCCTTTAGTTGTTGGATATTTCCTTAACACTCTAAGCGGCAAAGCTGTATATATATGGCCTAGAATATTTTTTATGATATCTGTAGGAACATATATATACGTGCATATTAAAATATGTCAAAGAAATTAAGGCAACATAACAAAATTACACAAATCCAGGTATGAAATTCCAGGAGAGTTTTTACATTAAAATCAAAAAATATAATTTGTTTTCATAGTAGTTTTGGGAAATTTGTGTTTTTTAGCCAAAACCCTGGCCACTCAAAGGGTTAATGCACACGTGGTATTATTTATTTTGCTATTCACATGGTATTTATTTTTATCCCAAAGGGCATAAGCCCAGAGGAGTTATTAATTTCGTCTTGGCAGAAATGTTTTCTTTTTCAATAACCTCTATGTCACTTTTCTCACTATCAGTAGCAGTATTTTCTGGATCTAGATTCATACTACATATTCCGCCGTCTGTTGATTGATGATTGGAGTTTCATTGCAATAAAAATTTTCTGTTACATCAGCTTCGTTTTTTACCGCTTCTCTACATTTCTTTACTAAATCCACTAATTGGAAAAGTTCGCCTTTGGTTTGCATATCTGAAAACCTTCAAATTCGCGGCTATCATCTTCATCATCCTACCATGAAATATGGAAGCTGGCCATAAATTATGCCAAGCACTTTTTAAAATATCTGAAGACACATCCTCCCGCAGTCTTACGATGCTCCACACAGCAGATTTTATGCTAAAATATTCTTGAATAGTCTTCCCATTGTTAAAAAAACTTAACATGGATTTTAAAAATGCAACTTTATATTTGCATTTCAACGTGCGCACTATTCTGATAACTGTAGGCTGAATGATGGACATACAGTTTGGAGAAAATAATACAGATACATTATCTTTCACTAAAACTTAATTGAAGTGTGAGCCGAACAGTTATTATACATTCAGGGCAATTTTTGCGTCATTAGGTAAACCATCCGAATTCAAATGTTGCTGAGCCTTAGGTATGAGATGGTTTTCAATCCAACCATTCATTAACACACGTGTCATCCATGCTGTTTTATTTGCATGATATATAATGAGAAAAATCTTTATTCCTTTTAATGCTTGAGGTCGTGTATTTTTTCGGATTCTGAAAAGTTTACACTTGTGCTTTCCTGCAGTGTTTGCGCATGCTAAAACTATTGGTCTCGCTTTGGAATGTTTGACACCAGTTAGAGCTTTTTCTGTAGAGATTGGCAAAGTGTTTCATGGTACCAGTTCGCTGCCAGAAAAGACCAGTTTCATCAAGTTTTCACTATTAAGTCCCATTTCACATGCAATACTCTTTCGCACAGCCACCATTTGTATTAGGGAGAAACGAGACTGGTTCAGATGCACATCGTCTTTCATCCCTTAAACCATAAGCCACTGTGAGCAATGATGTCACAAACGCAAATCGGATTGGCCGAATTTCTAACATTTGCTTACCTCTTTTTTGACATTGTTTACTATTGCTATAATAGAACGTAATCAGAGTTTAGTGCTTTAATTAATTAAATTACACCTAAATTAATTTTAAATGCAATTTATATACGAGACCAATTAGTTAAAGGAAGAAAAGAAATCTTATATACTGCTGAACAGTTTTAAATACAATGATTTGTGGCTGTTATAATTTCAAACTTTGCTTTTTAAAACAATGAATAAAATGACAAATTAATATTAATAATGTTAATTTGTTTTAGAAATAAATATTATTAATGTTATAATTAATAATGTGTTAAAATTAATATTATAATTAATTCATGTATTAAGATTGTTTTGAACATGTTTTACAAAGACTTAGCTTAAAAATAAAAGCTTGTAATTTATGTTTCTATTAACCATTTAAACAGCACTAGGTTTTATACTATATATATATATATATATACATATATGTATTGAAATTCAGCAATAAAATTTTTAAGAAATTTGAAATGATTTAATGGCCATTTATATAGTTTGTGAGGAATTGTATGTCTTTTTACTTGCTTTGGAAACATGCTATGTCCTAAATAGGAACAGGGAGCTTACTAAAGCTATGTTCAAGTATGTGTGGAATCGATGACACAAGCAGGATGGGTTTACTGAACCCTTTATTCTCTATAAAGTTACAGGTGCTCCCATACTTTGGGATACAGATATAACCACTTGTCGTCTGAATGTAAAAATATAAAACTACTAACTAAAATTCTAACTTTGAATTAGTTTACAAATGCCTAACACTAGGACTGGCCTTTTTTAAAAGGTTACGTAAGTAGTATGCAAACTGCTGAAACTACAATATGTTTTGAATATTAAGAGGACTAAACCTCTGGCCTTAACGGAAAGCAGCAACTCATTGAAAACTCGTAAGAATGCAGTGGCAAGGTGGTTCACTTCCACTCTCTCTCTAATTCTTGGCAAAAAGCCACAACTTAAATATTTGGGCGTTAGCAAGTATAATTTGCATAAACAAATTAAAACATTTAATTCTTTCCGGAAGTGGAAAATAAGAAAAGATAGTATAGTTTTAAAATAAAATAAACGTTAGTAAAACTTAAGATCCGTACATACTTACCGTCAGAGTTAATTAGTTTGAGACTAAGGTCTAAATGACCTTGTTGAAAACTTTTAGCTCTAGGTTCTAAGTCTAATGCGAGGCCGATCTTTTGCAACAACTCCTCACTAAAACTATCTAACCTAGAAATTAAAAAGTCGTTTTACAATATCTCCATGGGCAATTACTTTTCATCTGTACTGCATCTAAAAACAGAAGTTTTTCTTAGTTGGATCTGGTTCCCTTCAGAGATCTGGAAGGAAAGCTAGTTTAATAAAATGTTAAACAATCAAATGGCAAGTAGTATGAACATGTATATTTTTCTTTTAAAACTCTATTCCTATTTAATTTATACCATTATTTTATTATCTCCCCATGCTCTCTAACATGTGTTGTAAAGAGAAACACCAAACACGTGCGTGTCTATGTACAAGTATGCAACACTACTGCCTACAATCAAAACACTAACGTGTTAATATAACACGTTATACAACATAACAAGACCTCTGAACACACTTTATATTCATCTCTGAACCCTGAGGTACTATTCTCAACGAGTGGCTAACTCTGAAGTGTACTGTCAAAGAGCCTAAATACGTTCATTCAACATTTAGCACATATTCACAATGCGTAACTCTTTTTTTCAGTCATACCAATAAGTTAAAACTTTGGCATTTCTACAACATTTTCATTTTTAACATATCACAGTACTCCTTAACTTTTAAAATAACAGTTCACATTGTACATAAGAGCATATTAACATGCCATTAATTTTACGCATTTCAAAACAGACATTAACATTAAAATGTTTTATGAATGAGAAATATGAATATTATAACGCTGAAGTGCTATTGCCCATCTCTGTAATTTGGCAGAATGAGGTACCGATTTATACAAATATAATAATGGATTATAGTCTGTGATTAGCTCGATATTCGATCCAAACACCCAACACTCGAACTTTTTTAATAACCACACAACGGCATAAGCCTCACGTTCAATAGTTGACCAGTTCTGCTGAGTTTTCGAAAGTTTTTGACTGGCAAAGCTGATAGGATGCAAACTGCCTTTGCTGTCTTGTTGTGACAAGCAAGCGCCAACACCATATGAACTAGCATCACACTGTATGGTGTAAGGCAAGGATGTCAAACTCGTGGCCCGCGGGCAGCATGCGGCCCACAACAAATATTTTTGCGGCCCAGCCAATATATCGGCAAATAATAATATATAATAATAAAATAGCATATCGATGAACAATAAAATGAAATGTTTACTGCTAAGTAATTAACGATAATTTATTCAGTGTTGTTAGATTACTCACAGCTAGCTGACACACACTACTTAAATTACAAATGCGTGTGAGTAGCTTGCGTTCAGCTACCTTCAGCTTTTAGGGGACACGTGCACTCAGAACTTGTACACATCCCCTGATAGCCGAATGTGGCCGAACTCATGGTCTCAGTTTTCCAATCATAGTTTTGTACGATATATTGGTGCATGCATGTGCATGCACTTTGCTTTATTATTAATTATTACTTAATTCATATTGTTACGGAGTTATTTATTTATTTAGTTTTTTTATTTAGAATTGTAATTAGGTTTGCTTCATGTTGCCTTAGCAACGCAGACGATTTTTGAAAAGACAGCTGCGTTGGAAGGTTAA